GCAATTATTGTATCAAGAATGAGTTGTTGAGAATATTGTACTGTTTCGATAATTCAATAAATAATACTTGTTACTCTGTGTAATTCTAGGGTTAAGGTTGAAAGGGGTTTAACACACATAATCATATGTGACAACTGTTAAAGTCTTATATAGTTCTGCTAGTAACTTTCTCTCCGAGGAGGGGCCTTGTGTCTAATTAGGTAGTTGGTAAGGCAAAGCTAACTAAGGCAATTAGGAAGATCAACCACACTAACTGAGATACAGCCCATACTCCTATCGAAGGCAGTAGTGGGAAATTCTCCATAATGGGAGAAAGCCCGACAGAGCAATGTTGCGTGGAGGTAGAAGAGGCAATGAAAGCATTGGCTGTCTTTGTGCTAGCAGTCACAGTAAAACAGATGGTGCAAGCATTATCTGTATGATCAGGCTTAAAGCTGTAGGTGGCTAGTATAGTCCACTTGCTACTAAAGTTATTTGCAAATTGACACATTATGTGCCACGTGATGTGACATAGTCCTCTAGTCTTTCTCCAATGAGTTTTAACACCCACACACACGTTCCCCCAACCAAAAAAGGAGCCATTCATTGGTATTTAAGTCTTCCTCTAGTCTTCATTGATTGATTGGTAAAAGTCTTCCTCAAAGTCTTATAAACACCCATTTTTGTCCCACTCCTCGGAACAAATGAGGAGGACATGTATTTTACTTTTTCATTTATGAGCACATGTATATCCTTTTCTGATAAGTCTACCTTTAGAATTTTCTTTGTCATTTAATATGAAAATTACATAAAGAAAGAATGGAAATTCCATACATTATTTCATTGACTAATATGTCTTCCTTTTTGTTTGTTCCCCCAATACACGATAGGAACTCATACACATCAATAAGTTTAGACATAATAGAAAATTGACAAACCAATTAAGGAAAAGCAATGTGTATGTGAAGAAGTGAGAAATGTAAAAATTTCCACATGAGAAAGAACTAACTATTAGCGTTTGTTTCATTGAATGATAGGGAATGCTAGTAACATTCTCTCCAACCTTCTCTTTTGGACATTCTCTCTTTTCCTCCTGACATGTGTCACTTCCCATACACTTAAAATAATGACATTAATACATCAAACAAACCACCTTTTGTTTTCTAAGTTTACCCTTATTAAATGTATTGTCCTTCAATTGATCCAATTTTTTTTAACAACTCTCTTACCATATGTAAAAAATTAAAAAAATTATGTTTTTCAAAAAGAAAATGTCTATTTTTTTTCAGAGGAAAAACGTTTTTTTTTTTTTGGTTAAAAAAAAATAAACACAATAATGACCTTAAAAAAAATCCACAAAAGATATATCTTTTTTTATACAAACAAAAGATGTTCTTCTAAGGAAGTCTGCTTTAAAAGGAAGTTCATTGATTGCATTTTCAAATCATTAATTCGGTAAGTTTGATTATTGATATATTTTTTTTAACCATTAATTAGGTAAGTCTTATTTGTTGGAGTCTTTCAAAAAAAAAAAAAAAAACTCATGTTTTTCTTATTTAATGTTTTAACAAGGTGATAAGAAAGTTGTAACAAATTTGGATAATAAATTTAAGGAAACACTAAAATCAATACAAAAAATAAGGGCAAGTTTGGAACAAATGTTATCTTATTTGATGCATTAATTACATTGTTTTTAGTGTAAAGAAAGTGACACATGTCATAAAAAAAAAAGCAAGAAGGTCCAAAAGAGAAAGTTACAAAGAATGTTGTTAGCATTCCTCTTATTGTAAACGACAGGAAATTGCCACAAGTTACTCTGTTCCTCGGAAAGCAAACCCATGTAAAAGACCAATTTTCATTTTTGTCTGCATCGGTGAAGAAAGAAGGGAAGGTTTGACATAGTCACATAGGTAATCAAGAACCAATTAAAATGACAATTAACCTAAATTACTATCATTAACATTGCTAAGATCTGATAACTATAATGTAAAAGATAGATTGCAAGAAGTCCTGAAAAATTGCATGGACTGAATCACCATGATCATCTCTATATTGTCAACGCAGTTGTCTAACTTAATGAAAGAAGATCGACCTTCTACACTAGGTTTCCTGGCCATGTCTTCCATCTCTCTCACCTTCTTCCTCACCTCACCATCACCATCACCATCACAATCACCACCCACAACACATCTCACTATCTCAATCGTGTTGGCCGCACAAGATCATATTCCTACTCCACTTTTATATTCGCTGCTGCTAATCCTAAATGCATTGGGCAGTTATTCTTCATATGTAGGCCAAGCTCTCAATTTCTCCATTTCAGTCACATATATAAACCCTCCTACGGTGTGGCTACGGTCTCCACCTCCGCAGCCAATCCACAGAAGACCCCATCCCCTCAATCTGTTCCAAGTATCCTTTCTGCAACATGTCTGCTGGACGGACGCATTAGTGGTGTGTGGAACTCCCAAAAGCCCGTTAGAGACGAGCGCATTGTGCTCGTCGGGTGAGAATTGGGGTAAAGCACTGACCCATCCACGTAGACTTTGAGGTGTTTGTCATCGCTAAATATAAGTTACAAGCATGTGGCTCCAACGCGAGAAATGCATACATCATACATGGCTTCAAAAATTAAGGAACCATCTTTCAACAATTGAATACACAATTGAGGGAAGTCAACAATCTGCCTCAACTCTGCTGCAACTATAAATCAACTCTAATGAATTTCAAATCTTAATTTATACATTTGTAGCTAAACACCTTGTTTTGAATTTCAATGTTGAGACTTCTTCGATGTTTTGTTAGTAATCACAAATACTATTGAAATTTCATCTTCTCTGGTTTTGACTAAATCGAAGACACATTCTTGGGGTATATGGGATACATTATGCTTGAATAGACTCGACTCTATATTAACAAACAATCTCTTTACCTTTGGATGTGTGAATTTAAGATGAGGATTTAAATTTTCATTTTGGCAATGATTTGAAATTGATCACAGTTGAATTCACCACTATCAGATATTAATACTTCTAAAAGCTAGCTTAATAACTTATACCAAAACATCAAAATCCAAATCTCTTCTTCTAAATTCACTAATCCAAACCCAACAAGAGTGAATTCTATCCATGACACTAGATGGTAGCAAGCATAATGAGGATATTGGCTAAACCATCTGACCAAGATTTAGTGATAGCACCTCAAGAAGTGCACACAGACATAGAAAACTACTCAAACAAGTTGTGCATTTTCAAACATGATCACAATATGAGGTTGACTCAACTCCAAGACATCAATGATCCGCCAACTAAAGCGTAGAAATTAGAAAACCAATTATACACAGTCCAGTTGAATGTAAATCCTACAAGCACCAAGCACCCTTCTGAGAAATTAGCTGTATTCCATTTGCCAACCCCAACTAGCTAGCAGAACCAAATCACAACTTTCATAAATTACACTATCAAAGTTCGATCTTTTTTTTCAAATTACCTCAAAGAAATCACAAAACTCACCCAAATTGATCTCAATTACACAAAATAACAAGCAACAGATAAACAAAATTCAGCCTGAATTGTCCATTGATAAGAAGAAGAACCAGAAAAGCACCAAACTTCAACAATTAAGAGAAACATTGCATCAAACAAACTATTTCCTTTTTAAGTAGAAAAAGAACAAAGAAAAATAATTATACTGCGATGCTACTACTGTACCATGAAAATCGATTTTTCTGAAGACGATCACCCTCGGTGGCTGTCGTAGTCGACAACCTCGGAATCCGCGAGTGATCTCGAGTGCTGGACTATGGACCGTCCGATGGAGTTGATCCACTCCTCCTTCTCCTTCTCCGAGTCGGCGATGAAGTACATGGTGTCGTGGGTGTTGGTGGAGAGCTCGAAGGCGCAAGGCTTGTGGACCACGTCCTCGGCGCCCTTCACCGTCAGGCACGTGCCCACCGGGATCACGCCGCGCGGTGTCGACGTGCGGGTAACGTTACCATCCTTGAACCAGAACAGCTTCCCCTGTTTCAAGACGAACCAGCGGCGCCGCCAGGTCTTGATGTACTCGCCTTGCTTGGTCAGCCACGTGGCGCGTTCCGGGTTGGACCAGAACTCTATCCCTGTGTAGTCTTCTGGGCTCGGGTCTTGGCCCGTCGCGGCCCGCCAAAGCCCCTCCATTTTGGGTTGAGCTGCTGCTGCAGGTGAGCTGTGCTGTTTGCAGAGCCGGGGTTTTGAAGACAGAAAGATAGATTGAGAGAGAGTAGAGAGAGATTTAGGCTTTGTTTCGGTTTTGGCTTGGATTCGGAAACAGAATCAGTTCCCTTGTCTAATTTCACAACCGGAGAGATTTGCCAGCTTGAGGAGATGCGACACGACATCGTTTTGTTCGCAATTCAGATATTTTACACAAACCAAAACAATTTTTTTGTTGTGTAAGTTGTTGTGTTTAAAACTCATCATAAAAAATAAATAAAATAAAAAAGCTTAAAATCGGTTTTTTTTTTCCAACCAAAAAAAACTTCTATTCTTTATTATTAACGGAGAAGGAATTCGAACTTAGGAACTGATAATTTTTGAAATAAAAGAACTACTGAATGTCAATGGGGGAATAGAATTCGAATGTCGAATTTAAGACATTGCAACTTTTCACAGGAAACGACAATTTTGAAAAGAAAAGTACCACTAGACCTAAAACTGAAGAGTCAACATAAGGTGAAGGTGTCCATAAATTGTGGCTAGCTGTCCTGGTAGATCAGAGAGGTTAAGCTTGTCAATAAACTTGTGATTCATGGGTAATCGGCCACACCATGCCCAAAACAGATTAAAAAGAGAATCTACATATTAGAACCCTTAGTTGGCCGGCAAACATGATTTCTTTTGCGAGCATGTTCTTCATTATGGTGCTGTGTTCGACATGCATATCCGTACCAGCAATTTTCCCTGTTTGATGCCTCCGGAGGTAGATGATTTTTGGGAATCGAAATCCGAAACCAGTACAAGAGGAATGAGATCAATTTCTCATAACAATTGTTGCACGTAGGTGTCCCATAAGTTATCATCTCAGCATGATTCAGCGGCATCCTTGTCCGGTCAATTTCTCTGTTGTTCAACTTTGCAATCCATTCTGCTATAACATCCTGCAATGTTCTCCCCAACTGTGCAATACATTTCTCAGTGATAACTTGTTCGTGTCGATTGTTTTCGTGTGCCGAAGTAGGAATTCTAGAGATGGTGTGTTCTGAGATTGGTTTAAAAGTCTCCCGACTGCACATGCGATGAGAATCACTATGTCCAACCCTTTGTGCATTCCAATATGCACCACAAAATGCCTTATCACATCCTAAACAGTGTTGAGGTACACTGATATTGGTTCGCGAAGGCATCATTCCTCCGCATGCTTGACATTGCAGATGAATGGTGTTTTGATTGCAGCGAAACCCACCAAATTCAGTACCACATTGAGGGCATGGAAGTGGTGAATCATCAACTGCCTCGTTCACTTCTGAGCGAGCCCTTTTCCCACGGAGGCTTTTTCCAGAGCTTACGACAAGATTTGATCGTATTGTTGCATAGGAATTTAAAATTGCCACTTCTTCATCGGAGCGTTTTAGTGAAGAATCCGCTTTTAGTATTTCCTCCGCAATGTTAAGCAGGAAATGATTTCTTCCAACAAATTGGACAACTGCTCGACATTGGGGACAGAGTACACTTGAGCGTTTCTCCTGTGATCTCCTTAACCACTCTGAAAAGCATCCATTGCAGAAGTTATGGAAGCAAGGAGAAACAGTAACAACTTCATGCCATATATTTAGACAAATGCAGCATTTTGCATGCTCAACATCCATAGAAATCTTTAACTGCTTCTGACAAGTTTCAGGACCAGGCAATACATTGAACCTGTAGCTTAAGTACCCTTCCTTATCAGGACCTGAAGTAATTTCACTTCCACATCTGATAACAACAGTGTCATCAGCTTGGATTACAGTCCCATCAACGAATATTGCATTTGAACTTTTATTTTGTATGGTGGCAGAAGAATGGTCTGAGCTCCTTGTTATTTTGCACCACTTCCATTTGTCAGTAGAAGAGAACAAGATCTCTGAGCAAATTACAATCTCGTCTGAGCTAATCTCAACATCTGGATATCTCGAGTCTGATGGAACAAGCTTGGCCCAGATTTCGCAAGAAGGTTTTGCACCTGAGCTTTCTCCAACTTCCGCCATCCCTTGCCTATATTCACGAAGGAACACGGAAACCTTTAACTTAAACCTCAGAGATAAGCAACCAACCATTTTTGTTTTCATTAAACAAGTCCAAAATAATTATATCCGTTCAACTATTTAATAGCCACAGAGAAAAACTTCATTAAATATTTAATCAACCAACAAATTCTTACCAATCATAAAATAAAACTCTCCACATCCAAACACAAACTTAAAACAAGTCAGTTTGGCACTCAAAAAACTTCTTTCGGTGAATGCAAATAGTCAGCTCCAATAAATATGCTACGGTATCCAGCGACACCAACCAAACATTTCAACACCAATAAACAGACCAACTTCAAAATTCAGAAATCTTACAACCACATAAATTGAAGCATAACAGTTCCAATTAAATATAAAAGCTCTTAACTCAGAACATAACCACATACAAGAAAATTTCATGGAAGACAGTACGTGTCGATTAACAAGAGAGTAAAAAAGGCTTAAGAAAAGGGGTCTCCAGCAATGGCAGCAGTTCTGGCCGGAAATGGTTCATTCTACGATTCATATATAGAACACATACAAACTGATTTTAGGGTTTTGTAATTTGTGAACGGGTGGAGCCAGAATTGTCATTCTTAGAAAGCCACTTTCTCAATTTTGAATTAATACCAGGACTCCAAGATTGTTAAACCACAGAAATTGTATGTGCTGATTTCCCCCAAAAATTACAATTCATCAAAGATCCAAACATTCATATCTAGAACCACATGTACGTATATCATATTTTCTCTATGGTCTTAGTTTTGAACCTTCTCCCTCAAGATTTGCTTTCTTGCATGCCCTAATCTCCACAGGATTTTACATATAGGATATTGAAGTATCTATTAGGTTATGAAGAACTGATAGGTTTCACTAAGGAAAATTGTAAATAAATAAATAAATAAAACCAAAATTTAAATCCTGATAATAAAAAATGAAAAAAAGTTTGCAACTTTAGCCAAAGTTTCATACTTGAACCCTTCCAAGTATTTGAACCACTTCAAGCAGTACTAAAACCTATGTCTAGAGAATATTACCAGATTTTTCTATCCATAAAACCGCAAGAAAATTCCAGCCATTACAAGAAATTAGAAATGAGATTATGAACCCACACAAAAAGAAAAACAAGAAACAAAAAAGATCTAAAGAAAGCAATACCTGTGGGAACAAAACAAGGCTGAAAGGTCAGATGGTAATAATGGGAATGAGTGAAACTGCCGCAGACAGAGCCCCAAGAACTGATTTAAAGAAGAAGAAGAGAACTGCGTCAGCAAAAGTAGAGTTCCGAAGAAGGCTCTGTAACTAAAAAAGACAGAGATAACTGAAGAGGAGCAAACACTAAGTATTGGGCTTGTCAAGATTGGGCCCGCTATTGTATTCTTGTAGTGGGTTCGCTAAAAGTTTTGATCTTGACAACATAACCAAGTTTGTTTCGACCCAAAATAAAACATAACAAGTCGTGGCTCGTTTAATAACCATTTCAATTTTAGTTTTTATTTTCTACGCTAGAATATGAAGAAAATTAAAATGAGAATGGGAGTTAGGATGAGATTGTGAGAGAGTATGAGAGGGGAGGATGGGAGAGATGAATAATAAAAGTGAAAACAAAAAACTTAAAAGTGAAAACAATTTCAAATAGATTTCAGTTTTTAGTTTTTGTTTTACTTTTATTACTCATCCTTCCCATTTTTCCCTCTCATCTTCCCTCTTAATCCCATTTTTGCTATTATTCTCACTTCCATTCTCCATCTTTTTCCTCTATACTCTAGCACAATCAATAAAAAATAAAAACTAAAAACTAAAATTGAAATGATTAACAAATGATCCTTAATAAGTTTCTATTCTATTTGCTTTGCTTCTATTCTATTTGCTTTGCACCAAGTTTTTGCTCATCGCATTACTTATTTTTGTGGTTGGTGTGGTTGTCAATGTAGCTGTCAATTTTTTTGGGTGAAAATTTACTTTAACTAATCAATTTTTCTCTGTGCAGGACCGCCCTTGTATCGTTTGAGTGGTCCGGCAAAATCTCTCTCGAGTCTCAACTGACAGCGACTTCTCATGATATTCTTACTAAGTTTTTATTATTTTGGGAGTTTCACTAAAACACCCAAAATGGGGGTTGAAATTATAAAAAAACTCAAGCACTATTTAAACATATAAACACACCCAAAACCCATCATTACACACACTCAAAACCCATTTATAAATACACCCAAAAAGTTGACTTTGGGGTTAATTTTGGGTGTGTTTCTATGTTTAAATAGTGTTTGGGTTTTTTTATAAATACATGTCTAGGATTGGGTTTATTTATAAATTTGTATATTATTTTTGTGACATGATTGTTTACTTAAGGTATAGTCCAAAACTCGAGAATTAAAACCTAAAGTCTAATTAATTAATGTGTCGGATGATAGACACCGAAAAAAAAAAAACATAAAAATTACATGTCACTACTTAACTAACTTTTTAGTGGTGTAAAAACTCTTTTATTTTCTCCAATGAACCCAAAATTTATCTATACGTGGATCATGTCGTGTACGTTGTGGACCATGTCGTCTTGTCCATTTGTGAAAGGCAAAGTACAGAAGAAGAAAATGATGATGATGATGAGAACAAGCAAAGAAAGACAAATCACGATAAGGCTTCCTTCCTTTGACACGTATAGTTAGCTCACACGTTATTATCTACTCTCCATCCCTCAAACTGCAGGATTGTCAGTCAAATTTATCATTATTAGCTTTCCCCTACCTCCAGTCCTCCATTTTCAAGGTAACAAATTCATCTCTTTCAGCTCCTTTGATGTTTCAGTTCATATGTGCTGCTGATTGTCTGTGGCCTTTGCTATCTCTCTCTCTCTCTCTCTCTCTCTCTCTCTCTCTCTCTCTCTCTGTGACTGTTTTGGTGTTTTGGTTCTATATACCTATATGTCTACTTAGTTTTAAACCTAAAAAACATGTGGAAGAAAGAGGAGATTGTATTGTTTTTGGCCTTTTCATTTATGAAATTCAACTAAAAGGATATGTCCATGTAGTAGTATAGGTTGTTTAATTGTGCATAAGTTGCTGCTAATCAATGAAGTTTTTTATCATCAAACAGGTCGCGTTTTTCGGAGAAAAATTGTATTAGTTTACACGCATAAGTAGTTGGAAGATCAGGATCAAACTCTCCTACCTGAGACTGCAGCTATGGCTACCACCAAGATATACGTAGTGTAAGTATCTATATTCTTTTTTCTTAATTTCTTGCGCACATGCATTATTTGGAGGCATTGGATGTTGAAACTACTTCTTGCAGGTACTACTCCTTACATGGACATGTCGAGACTATGGCACGCGAAGTACAGCGCGGTGTTAATGCAGTTGAAGGTGTTGAAGCAACACTTTGGCAGGTAAAATCTTTGATTTGATTATAATTAACAGCATATTCGAATGCTTGTAAGGCAGAGTGGCCCTTTAGTTTTTCTGAATTGATCTTTGTTTGACTTGATTAGAATGGAGCAGGTACCTGAGACACTTCCCAGTATCATTCTGCAGAAAGTGAAGGCCCCTCCCAAGGCAGATGATGTGCCGGAAATAAGGCCAGAGCAACTTGAGGAAGCTGATGGTTTCCTCTTTGGGTTTCCTTCTCGTTTTGGTGTGATGGCAGCACAGTTCAAGGCCTTCTTTGATGCCACTCATGAGATATGGGAAAAGCAAGCACTTGCTGGCAAACCTGCTGGGATCTTCTGGAGTACTGGATTTCATGGGGGAGGGCAGGAGCTCACCGCGTGGGTTTTCGCTTCTCCTCTGAAACATTTCGGCTATATATCAATTTACATATGCTCAACTTTATAGGTGCAATGCAACGTTTTCTTGTGGTTGATTCTTTGCCATGATCTATTTGTTTGCAGATTAACAGCCGTAACACAATTGGCACATCATGGCATGATATTTGTCCCTCTTGGCTACACATTTGGAAGTGGCATGTTTGAAATGAGTGAGGTGAAGGGTGGATCGTCTTATGGCTCTGGAACATTTGCAGCAGATGGATCTCGTCAGCCGACGGAGATAGAACTCCAACAGGCATTTTACCAGGGTAAATATGTGGCTCAATTTGCAAAGAAGCTCAAAAGCTAAACCCTTTTAGCATAACAAATACGCTTAGGCTGTGTCTGGACAGAGGCATTTTAAGATGTTATATGCTTTATGTGGTCTCAATATGAAAAGAATTATTAACCATAAGTTGATGAATGAAGATTCATCTCACCGCTTCCTTGATATTGCAATTGTGTAAGGTTTGCATATGCGATTGTTATTAATTTGGTTAAACAGTACATTCCCATAATCTGACATAATATAGTGTCCTAACATCAGATCTTTTACTTTTATCAAAATCACATGCCTCACCTCAACTCTGGAGTGTAAAATTGGAATTGCTGAAGGCAAAAAAAGTGAAAACAGATTCTGTAGGCGAATAAAAACTTCATTTATCAACAAACGAGGACTCAGCAAGATCAATAGCGCGCGCAAGAGCAGCAGCTTTGTTCTCACACTCTCTCTGCTCATCAGCTGGATCACTATCAGCCACAATTCCAGCCCCAGCTTGCAGATGAGCAACCCACTCTCGTCGCTTGTTCACATCCTTGTATGAATACATTGTATCGTACCGGAAGCTAGTTGGGAAAACAATAGTTCTCAGAGCAAGGGCAATGTCCATATTGCCAGAAAATGAAATTCCTCCAAAACCACCACTGTATGGACCACGTCTGGTTACTTCCAGCTGATCAATCAGCTCCATGGCTCTTACCTGCATTGCAGCAGAGAGCTAAAAATGAGGAAATTCAAGAATAAATCCATCTAAGATAAATTAGGAAATCATGGCATCAGGTTGCATATATCTACCTACTACATGTACCAATAATGGTGTGATAATCCTATCCCTAACCAATTAGGTTAACCCTCTTCGACAGTTCAATGTCTGAACTTGCAGGATTATACAGGTTAATCAACTCTTGGATTAAATGGATGGCCAATTATCCAAATAATTAGAAATGAAACAAATTTGCAAAACAAAAGCTGGAAAAGGGCTGATGATGAAAACCTTTGGTGCTCCACTGACAGTCCCAACCGGCAACGCAGTCCGTAGAGCATCCCAGCTAGTTAAATCATCACGTAACTCTCCAGTGACCTGCAATGACAATTGTAAATTTTCATCCCTAAATTAAAATTAATGTTGTTGAGAGTATACTGATGAAAATAACCTAAGAGTACATTCTTGTCATCCACAGACTTTGGATATTATATACATGAGAAAAAAAATTATGAAAGTAATGTCTTAGTTATTAATCTCTAATAGATATTAGGCTACCTATTAAGTGCATTGAGAAAGGAAATACTTACCGTAGAACTTATGTGCATGACATGGGAATAACGCTCGATGTTCATGAGCTTCTCAACCTTGACAGAACCAGGTTTTGAGACCTGCACGAACAAATTATTAAGCACGTGATTATGGCTACAAGATACTAAAGAAACATAGCAGATTATGATACAAATCTAATAAATATAAGCAATAGTGGTCACTTAAGGCATGAACAGAAAAGCCACCAAGTGTAAACTTTTTTAGCCAATGCTGAATAACGAAATATTGTTTCCTACCACTGACTGAAAAGATACAGTAGACTGAGAATTGCTTTCTACAAAAATAGAAAATAGTTCCACTTCATACTATATGGAACCTCCACATTGGCCCAAAGTCAACAAGGCACACCATCAAATATTGAATCTCTAGTTCAAAGCAGACTCTTCAGACTCTCATTCAAGAATAAACCACTACAAAGTAACAGATCTTTTTGGGCGAAATTTGCAAGATGGTAATTCATATTGACTTACTAGGATGTTTCAAACACCAAGGGACAAGAATGATATTCAATTTATCCGTCAGAATGAATCCTCAGGACATTGGCGTCTGCCAAAAGTAGACTATTAAGGATTGCATCTAAACCTCAAAATTACAGTATATTTACAGTTTTACAATCTTAGAGTAACATTCGGCATACATTAGAATGTGAATAAATACATAAATAGGAGAAAGATAAAAGTATAAACCTTCCCGACATCATTCCTCCCCAAGTCTACAAGCATGATGTGCTCTGCACATTGCTTTTCATCATTCAAAAGCTGTTTTTCCAATATTAAATCTTCTTTAGCTGTTTTTCCTCTTCTAACAGTCCCAGCAAGCGGTCGATTGGTGATCGTTCTCTATTACAAAAATAAAAAAAATGCACAACTGAGCA